TGGCCCTGACTGGGGATCAAACCCACACCTAGGTATGTGCCCTGACCGGGAATGGAGCTGCAACATTTTGGTGTGCGGGACTATGTTCCAACCAACTGAGCCACCCAGCCGGGGCTACATTCTTTCCTTTTTTTCCTTTTCTTTTTGCTCTCAGTCTTGAAAATCCAGTGTGTATACAGTGCTCAGTGTGAAGCAGCCTCACTGCCCATGCTCAGTAGCTACAGTGGCCAGTGGCTGCGACCTGGGGTTAGACCTGCTGCAGAGGGTCAGGCGGGGAGCTGAGACCAAGTATGGAAGCCAGAGGCCCTGCAGGTGGAGTTAAGGCAGAAGCTATGGTAGTGGCAGTGTTCCCGGAGCGACCTGGTGGGGAAGATAGGTCAAAAGTCATAGGGTAGCCCGGCCAGCTTGGCTCAGTGGATGGAGCGTTGGCCTGAGGACTGAAGGGTCCTGAGTTCAATTCCGGTCAAGGGTCTTGGCTGCAGGTTCGATCCCTGGCTCAGGTCGGGGCGCGTGTGGGAGGCAACACTCAATGTCTTTCTCACACTGATGTTTCTCTCTCACTGTCTCTCCCTCTTCCTTTCACTCTCTCTAAATAATAATAATAATAATCAATGGAAAAATATCCTCAGGTGAGGAGTAACAACAACAACAACGAAAGTAATAGGTCAAATCAAAGGTCCGTCCAGGGCAGTGGCCCGAGGAGGGAGAGGCTGGTCTGGAGGGTGATCATGCTGAGGCGGACGGACGGGCCTTCCCGGAGTCTGAGTTCTCCGCGTTGACTTGGGCCTTGGCGACGGGCAGGATGTCAGTGGCCGGTGATGTGGAGGATGCGGCAGGGGGCAGGGGGCAGGGGGCAGAACCAGGAAGGGCTGGGCCAAGTTCAGAGCTCAGTTCCTTCCCGGGGAGGCGGTGAGTAAGGTGCTGAGGGGCTCCGGGCGGCGGCAGGGAGCGGTGGGGACTGCGGAGGGTGAGGGTGTGTGTCAGCCGAGGCAGTTGAGGCAGACGCCGCTCGGACCCCGGAGCCACCACAAACACGGCCCGGAGCTGCCAGGCTCCTCTGGTTTGTCCAGAGAAGCCAGAAACCTGGATTTTATGTGAAATCTGACTTTTCAGAGTTGGCAACCGGCTCAAATTCTTTTGAAGCACGGTGCTCAGCCAAACCAAACATGTCTGCCAGCAGCATCTGCCCAGGCGCCCGGTCGCCAGTGTGGGAGAGATCATGTTGAGGGACAGGCATCCTGTGACTAAGATGGGGGGCAGGGGGAACAGAGCTGGCGAGGGGCTTGTCTGCCCGGCTGGCGGGCTTGGCTTTCCCTGGGACCATGGGGGCTGGAGGAGCCGGGAGGGCAGACCCAGGGAGACAGCCTCTGGCACCCTCGGGCGGGCCCAGTTCAGGGTTGCAGGTCCGCCTGGGGCTTGGCTGAGGACAAGTGGCCAGACACCTGCTCAGGTTGACTCAAGTCAAAGGGGGCAGCCCGGCTGGTGTGGCTCAGTGGTTGAGCGTTGACCTATGAACCAGGAGGTCAGGGTTCAATTCCCGGTCAGGGCTCATTCCTGGGTTGTGGGCTTGATCCCCAGTGTGGGGTGTGCAGGAGGCAGCCGATCCATTATTTTCTCTCATCATTGATGTTTCTATCTCTCTCTTCCTCTCCCTTCCTCTCTGAAATCAGTAAAAAAACATTAAAAAAAATCAGAGGGGCAGAGCTGGGGGGAAGCTAGGGCAGGCACAGAGCTGCCTTCTCCCCACCCCCTCTTTGCTCTAGGGCCCTCTCCATTGACCAGCTGCTTCTGTGGGTCCCCTCATTTTTGCTCCCCAACAATTGCAGGGCTCTGTATCCACTCAGACTGACTTTCCATGATCTCAGGGTTCCAGGGCCCAGAAGTTGTCTGTCTCAATTCAAGTTCCCAAGAGAGTGAATCTAATTGGCTGGGCGAGGCAACTACGTCCAAGGCATGCCACCCCCTGGTACATGTCCCCCTAACCAGGCCCACCCCTCTGCAGGGCTGGAGGTGAGCAGCTTGCCAGCGGGGGGCTCCCGGCAGGCCTTGGTGGGGAAAACCCATTCCTGTGCCTGAGCCTCCCCAGTCCCCAAAGGCCCCTTTCCCGGCCCCAAGGGCCACCAGGGTCCTCACGGTTTTCCGGCGTTTGGGGTCTCTGGGAAGCTCACCTACAAGCCCAGGAGGCTGATGCTTTGGCTCAGAGCACACGGACAGCTGGGTCCCAGGGGAGCCGGGACCAGCGTCTGGAGAGGAGGGTGCAGACAGCAGGCTGAGCACCCTGGAGGGGCTGCAACCAAGTTAGAGGCCAGAGGTCAGCCGGGTGGAGCCCCAGGGCCTGGAAGAACGTCCGAACCCACACGTCAACAACCCGAATGGCTGTGGGGTGGCCGTGGGGTCCAGCCCTGCAGTGGCTGTCATGGTGGGACCTAGAGAGCGGGGAACACAGTTCCAGGCCCCACGGTGGAGGAAGTAGCCTGGAGCCCACAGAATTTAGAGCCAGAACCCCAAACCCTTCGGGCATAGGGTGTATGACCTTGACTTCAGGCCCAGCGTTTCCAGAACCCAGGGACCTGGAGTCAACAGAACCAGATCTTGTCTGGTGGAGTTTGATAGGCCCCAAGCAGGGTCCATGGGGACCCCCACCCCAACCCCCTCAAAGCTGACCCAGGGCCCAGGTCTCCATGGAAACCCAGATGGTGGAGGGGGCTGCTGGAGTTGTGGTGGAGAATCCTGCAAAAAAACCCACAAAAAACAAAAACACAAGGACCCTGCCCCCTTCCTTACCCAGCCTTACCCAGTTACCTCCTGCAGGCAGGCTGGGCGGGGCCAGCAGGACCACTGACCCAGGGACCATCCAGGGCGCCCCCGGGCTTGGCACACGTGTTTGCTGAGTGAATCCAGAGCCCAGAAGCTGTGGGGCCCACACAGGTCCTTCTGCCAGAAGTCCTTGAGGGCAGGGCCGGGTTTGGGCCACCAGGGAGTCCCCAGGGCTGACCCCTACAAGGGCACCCTGCTCTGGCTGAAGTTCCTTCTGCCGGAAGTCCTTGAGGGCAGGGCTGGGTTTGGGCCACCCGGAGTCCCCAGGGCTGACCCCTACAAGGGCACCCCGCTCTGGCTGAGGGGCCGTGGAGAAGGGAGCCTTGGGGAGAGGGCCCCAGGCGCCACTGGCCCTCCCGCGCCTGGGTCTCTGGCGACAACGTGGGGTGGGCGGGGTCTTGGGGGGCTCTGTCGCTTGAGGGAGTCCTGGCTCCCGAGGCTGCCTTTCTGCGGTGCACTGCGTTTCCTAACCGTTCGAATGCTGTCCCCGTAGCTCCGATGTCTGTCACTTAAAGTGCAAGACCAGGCATGGGTGCAGTTAGAAGTCTGGGGGCGCCGGTGGGGGAGCGGCTGGCAGCCCGCAGGGCCTTCTGCAGGCTGCTGGCTGTTTGGACCACGTGTGTGCCAAACTGTGCTCTCACGATAGCGGCGCTTCTGTGCATGTTTGTACTTCCATGAGGTTTTAAATGCCAACCAGCGCGGAGATGGCGGTACAAGGGCAGTAGCCACCAAGCCCACTCCCCTGACCCATTCATGGGGCCAGACCCACCCCCGACGGCATTCCCAGGGGGGTGGGGGGTCTCCTGGGGGTGGGCGCGAGGCGCAGGGGGCTGGCGGGACC